AAAAAAAAAAAAAACAAGAAAACAGCTTTAATCGATCAACTTATATGACGATGAAAAAAGGTAGGCTGATACGTACAGAGCATACCAAGGTACATAGACATCAATTGTGAAAATAGACACAAAAATATTTATAACACTGTAAGACATTAGACTGTTTACGAAAATGAGATGACGTGTTCTTGTAAATTGCTGATAGTTTCTAAACAAATTCTTTATCTAGCTAGACTGAAGTAATAATAATTTTCTAACTATAACAGGAGTTCTCAATGCTGAACAAAGATCAATGTACAGCAGTAAAAAGCAATAATGATAATTGTTTGTTTTGACAATTGTGTATTGCATATGTCAGTAGAACCCAAAAAAAGCAGTTTTTTAGTTATGTCCGGCAAACAAAAAACAAAAAAAAAACAATAGTGATTTTTAAAGATTTGGTTTTGTTTTTTGCTAAATTTTTTTCTGTCTTTTTTTTAAAAGAATTATGCCTAATTGGTTTAATGTTCTATTAAAAATTTAAACAAGAAAAAAAAAGACTCTGTGGACAATGATCAATGAAAATTCAAACAGTACAATTCAATCAACGGTACAATTCGTCGTTTTGGTTCTTCAAGTGTCATTTTTTTTTGATACGAAGATTAATGCACATTTTAAATGAAAAATAAATTTTCCTGTTCACGTGAAAATACAAGTTTTTTCTACTTCTTTCGCGTATAAAAGCAGACTGTTATACGTAAGAACCGTCATAGTAAAAATTGCTCTTGATGTTTATTACAATTTGTCACTTCCTTAAGCTTACTTTACCTTGCTGTTAAAGAGTTCTTTTTTGATAACTGCATTTTAAAATTCTTGATGAAAAACTATGCTTCAATTTTACTGGTCTAATATTAGAGTGGCTATAGCCACTATTATCTGACAAACTTTTACCATTATGCCTTTTTGGTTAGCTGTTATATGCACTTATAGTACTGAACAACTATTTAGTTGTTTTGGAAGTTCGTCGAACAAAGTGCCAGTTCTCCACTTGTATTTTTTCTTCTAAATATTAGACTTGCTTACTGTTTAATGCAGGACACTAATCCGATATTTTATCTTGTAGTTTATTTTGAATAATATGACTATTTAATCAAATATTTCAAACAAAAAATTTTGTAACTCCAGGAAATTCGGTCTCCTTTACGGGTATCAGAGCCATCGACTCAGGTATAGTTGTAAGATTCTACTGACGAAAACCGCAAAAATGCGCAACAAAACAACCTGCAATAAAAGCAGAGTGATCGTGCCAAAAAAAGAGGTAATTAAATCATTTCCCATTTTCACTTTCACATAGAAAAGCAATTTTGCGTGGTAAAAAAGCTGTTTTTTACCTTTTTGCTACAATTCATTGTCAGTTACCGGTAATGAACCAGAGACTCAACATAGTCTAACTAGCAAAAAAAATTTTAAAAATTAAAAGAAACTGTTCAAAAATTGTGTCCGGTAACCTTGTAGTTTGAACTTATCAAATAGTTTCGTTCGCAGACAGGACTATTCCTTAATTTCTGTCTCAGAGAATATAGCCATTTTTATTATCAGACAATAATTAATTCAGCTGAAGCTTCTTAGAAAATTGTGCCAAAATGCCGAATATACTTCAAAGATTACTTATTTTGGTATTGTTGCTTTTGAAATTTTAGATAATCGACAAAAGCTGTTACAGAAAAATGTATTTGGAGTGCTGTAAAATTTTTAATTACAGATGAAGAATTTTATTGTAAAGGTAATGACATCTGTCGGTTCCAGCGATGATCACGCTCGGCAACTTGCCGACGTTTTGATCTGTGCAGATTACCGAGGCCATCATTCACACGGCATCAGTCGTCTCTCTGTCTACGTTGAAGATATTGCTACCTGTTCTTGTGCAGCCAAAGGTTGTTCAATTTTTTATTTGAGATCAGTATTCTAATTGCATTCAGTCCAGTAATCAAGCCATAAACAACTGAATTTGAGAGAAAAATAACTGAAAAAGATTAACAACGCAAGAAGCTCAAGCAATAGTTAAATGGTGGTACTGTTGAAAGTGAGTATTGAGAGGTGTACGGCGTGAAAAGTTGATAAAACGTGTACAGCTACATATCACATAAACATCAATAAAATACAGGAGTTTAATACTGAGAATTTAATTATGCTTTTTTGCTACTTTAAGCTAGAGCTTCGCTCCCCTTTATTAAAATAAAGTTAGTAAAGCCTATAAAATTGTGGTACACTTTGAAAATTGAGAATACCTACAAAACTAATGTCTATAAATCAAGTTAAAAAACAAGAAAAATCCACCACCGATAAAGAAGACAGCGAATCAGCCGTTAAAGGTCACAAAACAAGTCAGTAATCCTGCAAAATTTCCTTAACCGGTCATTTATGAAAGAAAAGTAGGAAAAAAAAGTAAGACTGAACAAAATGACACTTTCAGGTTCTCTCTTTACAACCCTAATTTTTTGTTTTTTGATGTTTAGGCGAACCAAAAATACTGAAACGTAAAGGTGCAACAGCTTGGGTGGATGGACAAAATTTGTTGGGACCAGTTGTAGGCAACTACTGCATGAAACTGGCAATTGATATTGCTAAAGAAGTGGGTATTGGTTGGGTTGTTGCCAAAAATTCAAATCATTTTGGTACCTGCGGTTGGTACGCACAGCAAGCGGTGAAAAGCGGAGTTCTGGTAAACAGTTAAATTAAATTACACACTTACATATAACAATATACCTATAGTATTAGAATAAAGAGTTTTTTGGAATAGTAGGACCAGAAGAAGAAATACGGCACTGCACAAAAATGGAAAAAAATTTTCCGTAAGCTTCATTGCTGTAATAGGGGATGTACTTAGCAAAAATCATTAGTTTGTATATATGTTTATCCTTGTATCTGCCTTCATTGTAGGGAATGGTATTCACGAATACTTCTCCGTGCGTTTTTCCAACCCGATCTGCTGAAAAAACACTTGGATCAAACCCTATATGCATGGCAGCACCAGGCAATAGCCAACCCTTTTTTCTTGATATGGCTGCGTCTACTGTAGCGTACGGAAAAGTCTGTCTAGAGGTTTTATATGATTTTAAAATATCGAATGAAGCAGAAAACATAAAAGTCAAAGATGAAGTTGCATTATGCCTTCTTAATACAGAAAGATAAAAAGCAGGGTTTTTTTGCTTTATCTTCTGGTACTCATTAAAAACAAGTAGTTGATTTTGGTTAGAAAATTAGGAGAATAAACTGAAGAAAAAATAGGTTATGGAAGAAGTAAATGTTAACTAGTGAAACTCATCAGATAATGATTCGGTTGTCAAATTGGGTCTTGGACTGCTAAAAAACCGATTTGACAGTAATAATTGTACAAAACCAAAGATAACTTTCAATTAGGTTAAGATTCATTTGAAGATTGAATGGCAACTTTTTTCTGACACTTTTTTATTGCTGTTATTCTTAACAATCTAATTATTTTAATTTTGTAAACTTGATCTGTTTATTCTTTTTTTTTTTCATAGTTCTTTATTTTAAGAAAGCGCAAAAGAAGAGTACTTATGACCGTAAACACTAATTTTTTTTAGATCGAATTAGCAAACGACAGCGGAGTTGATCAAATTCCTGAAACTTGGGGCAACGACTGTGAGGGTCGGGTTACAATTGATCCAAAAAGTGTCCTTTCAGGAGGCGGTCTTCAGCCGCTTGGTGGCCAAGAAGAAACTGGTAATTACAGTGCTTTTCTTTTCATTAAATTTTCGTTCTTCGTTGATCAAAGATCTACAGGAAAGTAAACCGGTTAGAAAAAACGGTGCTAAAACCGATGCAGTTTAGGGGGCTATAAGGGGACAGGACTTTGCATGATGGTTGAAATACTGTGCGGCATACTTGGTGGTGCTGCATTTGGTAAAAACATTCGACGGTGGAGAACTAATGAAGAAAATGCAAACTTGGTACTTTACTAATTGTCTAATCTCTGTCGTTCCCTCTTTTAAATTAATATGGTAAAATTTTGTTAACTAAAATCGTTGTTACTGAAATTTTTTCAAGGGACACTGTTTTGTCGCTATTGATCCAGATTGTTTTGCACCAGATTTCACCGGTCGACTGCAGCAATTTTTGAGAGAAACTCGTGAATCTAAACCGGTACAACACCTTTCAAATTTTAGTGTACATTAAATTTAAAACTTTTGAGGCTTGGCTGTTAAAATTTTCACAACAGCTACATGAGCATGTGCTTATTTTGTAAATTCAAGCAGTACTGCAGCTAAACTGCGATGGTTATAGTGTAACCGAGCTAAAAAATATGAGTTACCCAAATCCTTTTATGCCGAGACTTGCTTAGTATACAGAATGATTAGTGGCATTTATAATTTTCTAGCAAACATTTAACCTCAAAAGTTTTCATTAGCAGGTGCTCATATTAGAAAGATTTTTCAATCGAAAGATTATTTTTGGGAAATTACGGAAAGAAGGTCATAACTCTTAAAATTTACAAATTTGTACTGGATAGAAGCCAAAAACTTCAAATGACTGATAATTTTGAAGCACAGCAGTTTTATGTCTGTACCGAAAAAGTTAAAACTGTAATAGCCAAGTGAATGGTTGATTTCAATTATTTAGTTACATTTGGTTGAAGAACCAGGGCCATGATTTTTTCTTATGTACCTTACAGCATTTTTCTGTTCACTGTCAACAGTGCCCAAAAAGACTTGTTTTGTACAGCACATTTTTTACAAATTTCAGCAAATATTTCATGAATGAGCATAAAAACCTATAAAAGTGATTTTAATTTTTTTGGTTAAAGCGCGTCTTCTTAATCTTGTTTTTCTGAAGCACATTTTTTACAGACTTATATAATAGATTAACTTTGTAAAATTACAATGCGGACTACATTAGTATTTCAAACGTAGTCGTATTTTACCTCCGATTTAAGTTTTTTGAAAAATACAGGGATAACATTATCAAACTTACTTGTTTTTTTTTATTGTCTCTTTCAGATTTTCCACAATTTCCCAAATAACGTCTGAGTAAAAGCTTGAAAAGCAGTTAATTAGTAGTGTCTTCACATATTGTATCTTCATGGACATTTCTAAGATTAAATGTTGCCTATAATTCAGCTATCGGAGGATAATCCGGTCATAGTTCCTGGAGATCGTGAGCGAGCTCATATGAGAATGTGCGACGACATGGGTGGTTTAGTATACGAGAAAATTGAATTAGAAATACTGGTCAGTTCTACACCACATTTTTGTTTATTTTATATGATGAAAGACATATGGTGGTTGATACGATGTACATTGTACAATTTAAATGTTATTTCAGAAAGTTAAATTTTTAAAGTTCTACGTAACCAGGCCAGTTTTGCAATTTTCGCTGCCTTCTTGAGTTTTATTTTGTTAATCAATTCAGTAATCTTATGTTACATTTTCTGTCGGTTTTTTTTAACATTCTGAAAGCAAATAATGGTGAGAAAGAGCCTTAATTGATGGCTGACGTGCAAGAATAATCGGTTCTATGTAATTCATTATAGCGGCTTGATTATTTTATGGTGACAAAGTAATAATTTAATTTAAGGAAAGACTGGCAAGAAGATGTAACGTGCCTTCGCCCGTAAATATAGATGAGAATCCATCTTGACAAAAATAACGAAGTTGAAAGACGGAACTGTTTTAAAGAACATTAGTTGGACCAGTGAAAAACGTCGATTTTGAATTAAAATGTGAAGTCGCTGGATTTACTAAATTTGTGATTTTGTTTTACCGAACATTTCTTCCAGTACTTTGTATTTCTGTTTCTTTGGGAACAACTATAAAACCATACAGTTATTTTAACTGTTTTGGTTTTGTTATGCTTTACGGGTTTCTTTCCTCAATGGAAAAAAATTTTTATAAATTTTTTTGCAAGATTTTTGATAAAACCATAGACGTTTTGGCAACTTTTGAAAAAGCTGCTGCTTCACCAAGAGCTCAGATTCAAGGTCAAAAATATTTGAATTTCTTGATATAAACATGAAGAGTTGCATTCTTGTCACATGGATCAGAATATAGATGGAAAAAGCAGAAAATTAGTAAATAAATAAAACTACAATTTAGTTAGGATACTTTAGATAGGCAAGGTTAAGTGAGTACTGTTCAGAACAAACATCATTACTAACGATTCAGAAGGACTACTCCAAGTTTTTGTCGTACAGACAAAAAATGAATTAGTAACTAAACGAGTATCACAAGAAAAAAACACAAACCAGCTTTTATAATATTTATTATGGCTCTTTAGTAACTCAATTTTACAAAGTTAAAAACAGAATTATTAATATTTTCCTATAGTTAAACTCAATTTGAAAAAATTCTGAAATTCTATCAACAAAAATTTGAACTTCCTTGCATTGTTAGTAAATGTTTTAGTAAAAGAAAAATAAACTGTTATTTAACAGTGCAGTGAACACTACATACACTACACACGAAGAAAACATAGTGAAGTCATTGCTCTAAGGCGTCTGATAGAAAGATACCAAAAAACAAGCGTTTCTAAAACGCCTGCTCATTACCAACTTGCTGTAAGTTTTCATCTACAGTTTATCATCAATTCACAACCAAGATTGTAAATAAACTATTCGCAAGATGAAAGACAGTTCGCTAAAAATTGATTTATACTGACAGATTCACCATCAATTCCTTATAGTTGCGCGCCTTGTGAACAAAAGTTGAAACTGCATAGTGATAGCCCGTCTAACCACATTTTACAAACAGCTCCGTAATTGAAAGCTCTAAAATTTAAAAATAATTTACCTTCTCTGCATATAAGAATACTTCACTATTCTCAACATCTGTAAAAAGGCAACAGTAAAAATTACAAACAGTATTAAACCAAAGTCTTCCTTGCAAAACTTTGAATGGCACTGATTCTAAATCAGATGCACCTTTTTTAATGACCATTCTCTGTTGCTAAAAGAAACAGAGCTATTTTATTCATATCAGTCAACTGCTCTAAAATCACACATTTTAAATCATCCTTTTATGAGGTGCTTTACTGATAGCTAGAAAAAAACAAAGTAAGCAATAAATATCATTCCCATTGCTTAGTTAGACTAAAAAATATTCCAACAGTTCGGTAGAAATGGATCATCTTTGGCAAAATTTTAACTCAGTAATATGACGTCTATATAAAATAGGTTCATCACTGTCCCTGAAAATCGGCATATAAAAAACAAATTATTAAAAAAGATGACTTTTAAAAATCATTTTTTCCATCAACGCCACCATCATTTAAGCACCAGTTTCCTTTTCAAATTCTTAATCTGAATTATTGCAAATAATTAATATGTACTCTTGGTACTTTGAGAGGCATGCATAGTCACTTTCACCACAGACAGATTATGTCGAGTGTGTATACTACTTTAGTTTTGAAAGAAGTTTTATTTCTTTTCAATCAGGTCAGCTTTATTCTACGATGTTTCCTCTTCATAATTAACCATTCAAAAATGCTGCTTCAAAATAAAAAAAAAGAATCAAATGAGCTATTACTGAGTTAGTTAACTGCATCAAATAATAAAATTGGTGATATACAATACACTTATATAAAAGCACATTAAGTAAAGAATCACTGTATGTATTAATTTGAAAAGTATCGTTGCGAAAGAGTCAACAATCCTTTCTAACTCCTAAGTTTACACCAAACAACCTTTGAAAGGACTGCTTTTTCTCAACTCCTGCAAACGGCAATAACATAGTATCAAAAATGATAAGTACAAGAAATACTGTAATACTGTGCAACATTGCATCATTTTCAAAGCCAAAAAAAAGAAAATAAATAGCAAAAGAAAGGAAAAAATTGCTGGTAAAACAGGGAGGATCCTTCAGGACTATTTAACAACTATCGTAACCCTCCTCCGTTGTTTTTTTTTTGGTAATAGCATCAAAATATTTCTACACGGATTGCTCTGCCGTTAAATGTAAACGACACCAGCAGAACTTCTTTGCAGTTAAGAAAGAAAAAAGTTAATGCGTATTTTGAGAAACTTCCACTGAAAATTGGTAAAGACTAGTCAACCAAATTAGATAAGTGAATGGTTTCTTTCGAGTTTAGTTTCATGAACAAACATCATCGTTGCAACGTCCAGAAATACAAGGATTCTCATTGTTCTCAAAACCTATACAATTTCCGCCATGTCGTACTTTGGCCGCACAGTGTGGTGTCCCATGGGAACGATCACAGAAAAGATATCTGCAATTTAACGGTATATATTTTGGTAAAAAAAAAAGCATAGCTTTTAATCTTCAAACACTTCTCAATGAACACACCTGCTGCCGCACTCATGGTCAGCGCCAGACAAACACTGAGGTCTGGAATCGTATCGATAAAGCTCGGTAGTGTAATGATCACTGATGCCGTCAATATTCTTTAATCGATTAAAAGGCTTCATAAGGCTGTTTGCAAAATGCTCTGAACTACTGCAGTTTAGAGAATCTGTAGGGTATTCGGTAACTCGACCATGAGGTGTCTACAAATCACTTTGTTCTCGTTCATTTCATTTAAGAAAAAATTGCTACGAATTTGTTGAAACAGTGCTTAAAGCTAGCTTGTTTTCGTTGTCTCCAATCTTCCCAAAGTTTGTCAAGAAAAGCGTGATGCATGAAGAACAAAGGATTATTGGCAGAATCGGACGGTTGAAAAGTTGGTCCACCTAGCCACAAAATCACATTGCCGTTACTGTATTCCAAACTTGTCCAAGTAGGTTTGTAATGGCAGCCCTAAACAATAAGTAATAAACTTTAGCGCACTTGTTTTAAGATATTATATAAAATTTTGATTAGACACAAATGACTTTTATGCCAAATTTTGCAAAGTCACTGTTACTGAGTAATTTCCATAGACAAACAGCACTTCTGCATGTCGTCAAATTTCTTCTTGCTTATTATACACAAAATCCTGCTGATTTAGCTTATTTAGATTTACCGGTTTAGGGGCTGTATAAGCCAAAACATCCTCAATATTAGTTGATTCTTGGAACGCAATAATGTCCTTCTCTCGTAATGGACGGCCATGTTGCCCAATCTCTCTGCGATTTTTTCGGGGATTCTGAAAAATGCAGCTACGTTCGGCCCATCTGTGATCGTTTATTATTGCTCATATCTCTTCAGATCTATCAAAGCCGTAGTTTAGATCCCCTATATCAGCTTAATCATAACATTTGCTAACTACACGTTGAACATATTTGAAGACAGTTTGTGAAGCTAAGACGTATCTGTGAATTTAGCGATAATCCTGAAATACAAACTCTATTGATAAATACTTTTTCGACTAATATGAAATTAGGTGAGAAAGTATTTAAACTAGCCACGATGGCTGTTTGGATGAGTGTAACTCGGCAGTCAGTTTACTCATCGTCACAAACGAATACATCTCCTTCTTCAAATTACAGTGAGACGACTTTTATGACAGTTCAACTACAGTAGGGCTTGAAAACCCTTGAAGGCATTTACAATTTAGTCAATGAAAATGTTGACAGTGAAATGGAGATTACTGGCAAGTAGTTGTTAGAAATAAAACCTGCTGGGGTTCATCACTATGATTACTGACTGTTCGCTTAAACCTTCCCATAAGCTCCAATTCAAAAAGACATGAATCTTTTCCATCTTGAAGTTGTCCTTCAAGCGTTGAGTCCCAGTAAGGAATGGCAACGTCAGGATCAACAATTCGTAAAGCAAATTCAAATCTGAATAGATATAACTAGTTTTCTTAAAATTTAGTTGCGCAAGCTACCTTTTTCTTTCGGATGCTCAAACTCAGGATAATGTCAAAAGAAAGCGCGACAATGTTCACTTTGAGCATTTCAAAAAAAGTCACAGTAAGCTTTCCCTATGCTGAACACTTTTTTTTACTAATTTCAAACTCTTTTGATTACCATACAGACTGAAACTTTCATCTTATCTTCTTCCTAACCCTAGAATTTTACGAAACCAGAGCACACCGTTTTAAGTACTCTCGATGCCACGGTAGAAATGCTGGACCTGAATGAGCTCCTCCACACTTCTCTGGATCTGCATGCCACTGAGCTATCTTGTCGTATTCACCTGAACGCCTAATTTCTTCCACAGCGTTATGAAATCGCATTCGTTCATCCTCAGTTAGACGGCGATACTCTTTTCTTACTGCTGGCTGAAGCATATCGCCATTTGGCATCTTGCAGCCTGATGAAGTTGATTTTCCTAAAGAATATTATTTAAACAGGATCATAGACAGAGTGCTTGTTACGAGAATAAGTGACGAATACTTATTACAGTTGGCTTGTATAAGAATCAGGAATAAACCATCTCTCTTCTAATTTTAAACATACTACTTTGCTTGCCTAATGTGGATAATGATATACCATGAACGTATATGCAGAGACAAGTAAGCGTTGTGCACTCATAAGCTTCTGCGATATTTTTCGATTGAACTGGAAGTCCACTATTTTGAGGCTGTTGATGACTGCTAGGTGTGGTAGTTTGGGGAGGAATTTTAGATTGAAAAGCGTGTTGATTTTTAACTGAGAAGCTGCTTGCAGTTTTTTGTGAAAATGTTGAGTGACTGGGTGGATGTTGTGGCTGAAAAGATGAAGTTTTTTTTTGTGATGATGAAGGAAAACGTTTGGGTAAAGAAGGCTTTGATAGGTGTGCTGATGGGGGTACAGATGTTTGGAGGGGTGGTGATGTCAAATGAACTGTCGGAGGAGTGAACTGCTGAAGGGGCGATTGTGTTGGGTGAACTGGTTGGAGGACGTGTGCTTGAATATGCGATGTCAAGTTAGCAGATGGGCGATCATGGGCTTGAGAAGACGATGGAGGTAGTGGACGAGATGATGGGCGACCATAACTTCGAGAAGGAGGTGATGTTGGGTGACTGTATCCTCGGAACGCTGGTGGTGATGGATGTGGTAACGGACGGTTACTTACTGGAAAACTGTGCTGTTGAGATGTCCCATGAATTTCCGCTGGAGTACTTCGGAAACTTTGAAATTGGTTACGATTTGTATAGCCGCGGCTGTTGTTGTAATGCCATGTTCTCACGATAGGTTGGCTTGAGTGTTTTCGAGGTATAGTATAATGAAGTTTTTTGGCCGAACTCTGCTGATGATGTGTTGTTCCAGAGTGGACTGTTCTCGCTGGCTGCAAGCCGTACTGAGTGGAGCTGGCAGTGTCTCGGCCTGAATTCCTACCGTAACTGTTTTGCAGGTATGTGGGCCTGGTATTGGGGTTATAAATATTTGTGGATTCAGAATTCCTGCGACCTAAAATATTTTTTCACATTAACAGGCCGCCCCCTTTTCGCCTACTGTCAATAATGGCAATTTTGATTGAGATGTGAAACTTGTCAAACGCAAAAGCCTACCAGTTTTTCTTAAAGTGATTATATTATTTCGCATAACGTACCCGAATAAAAATCAGAGGTTTGAGGTAAATCTCCGCTAGTTCTTACGACATAGTAGGAATTGCCGTGTTGATTGATGGCACCAGGTTTAATTTTTAGTGTATATCGTACCGGCTGCTTATCCAGACACCCCGCTGTATACAAAATTGTATAGAATTTAGGAAATAAAATTTAAAAGACTTACAGATGGAGGAGAGTCTTAGGTTTTTTTGCAGGTAAAAAGTACTTTTAAGACGGCATTGAAAAACTTGTTTCTATTAAACTTAAATTTTGTCAGAAAGTTCCAATTTGCACATTGCCCTTGTTTATAAGTGGTCTTAAGTTGATCTCAGATAAGCAAAAAATTATAACCATCGTTACAGCTGGATAGTAAGCCACGACTTCGAGATCTAACTTTTAATTGACCGTTGTACCCGTAGTTCTGTTGAGGTGGTGATGCCCAGGAAGACCACTGCGACCATTCTGACGTCTCTAAATTTGTCTGAATCGGACCTGATCTAACTGCTGAATACGTGTGTGTTGGAACGCCTTGCTGATAAGTATGGCTGCTGGAATAAGAGGAAGCATATGAACTTCCCCAAGACACAGAATAAGTCGTGTTGCGCTGCAACAATTTTCTAAATTATTACGTCGTTAAATATCTTAGAACATTACTGCTGTTACATCTTATTCTTATTCCATGGACACTCTCAAAATATTGCCGGTAAAAATATTGATAAAGGATAACCAGTTTTGGAGGGAGGGGAGGTCAAAGCATTCTTACTTGAGCTTTAAAATACTGTTTTCTTAAAAACAAATTATTTCTTATTATTATCCGTACATTAATGTTAAATAACGTAATGATTAGGAACTTAATGAAACCAAGCGTTTGCTAATTTTTCACTGTTACTCCTAGTGGTAAATGACTTTAATTAAATAAGAACATTATGCTTCAAATAGTGTTTTTCTTTTGTTCTATCGTCTCTTCTTCTCAAATAATCTGCATAACTGTGGGAGTGTACCGACCGAAGGCTACAGTCGAAATAATATTTAAACTGCGATGAGTGCCTCACCTAGAAAAAAATACATAGCCAATTCACTAGGAATACTTTTTTAGTTATTTTACCATAAAAAATCTTCTTTCAGTAGCTTCCGCTTACTGGATTTTCCATGCCGATTTCAAAAAAGTACTTCTTGCTGGAACACTAAGTCTTTGCTACGAAAACATTTATTTTTTTTTCAATTTTAGAATTTCTTTTGTAATTACTTCTGAATGTTTCACAATGCTTACAACTATGCTCCTTAGCAAATGCAATGAATTTTTGCTGGTAATATGGGCCCCTTCACAGGATATGAAAACAAAAAACACCGTTCTTTCACGGGGACGAAGCACAGGCATCAATCGCGGCTGTTTTTTTAATTGTTTTTTCCAACACGTGTTAAAAATAACTTCAGGGCCGAAGAAAACCAGTATCACCAAAACGAGGCCTCAGAATGGCTGCATTTTTCAAGCCTTATGACACTTTCAGGCTCCTTTTGGATGTGGAAGCGTGATCACATTGCAAATAGAGACCCTTAACTTTTAGAAAGAATACTCACTGGTCCGATTAAAATTTGACAAGTGATTCACCACTTTTTTTCTACTCTGAACAGCTCGCTTTCGATGGCTCAAAAATTTCTTCAGACAGCAAAAATCTTTCTCAACCTCCTCTTTATATTATTTTCATTATAACTGTTGGTTACGCAGAAATCATAGATATGAGAGTGTCATTTTATCTAGCTAGTAGGTATTGCTTGAACCCCAATCTGAAATCCGGCAGCTTGTCAAAAACGGTTTGTTTTTGAAACCATATTCTGCCAAAGAATTCTTTCTAAACGAAAAAGCAGCAAATGCGAATTTGTTGTAAGAGAAAAAACAATGAACGTTGCTGTTTATGACTGTTCCAACCTGCAAATGTTGCTGTTTTTTTAAAGTAATTATATAGACATATTAAAGTACTTGTTATCATTAATTCATTCAAGTCACCTATAATTATAAACTCTTCTGTTTTGTAACATAATCACTTTTCTTATTTGGCTATAACCTTAAATTATTAGTTTTAATGTTAAAGCTAATCAGTAGTAGAATGCTTATAAGTACTAATGTAAAAAAAAGAAATTCACGCTAATATCGCTGTACTCTTCGCGCAGCCAGCTTTTTATTCATTTTCAATGCTTGCTCTGCCTAAAAAGCAGAAAAGTGAAACAGTATTCTCACAGCTATTAGTCTATCTTAAACATTTTGTTGTTTGCGATAAAATTAGTTGTTGTTTTATTTTATGAGAAAATAAATTTATTTCCTGGTTTTGTCGCCGCAAAGCATCCACAATCATTATAAGTTCAGTAAAATAATTGTCTTACAACAGAAGAATTTATAGCTATGCGCTTAATACATAGAGTGCATAACACAGTTGCCCCTGCCGCTGACAACTCTCAGCCCCTCGATTTCGAGCTAATAGTGAAAAAAGTTAGAAAGAAAGCCAAGAATCAAATAGGTGTAAAAAGTATTTCTAGGCTTTGGTTATTCATTTTGTCTGAGCTCAAACAATTTTTGGAAAATTCTACTGGTCAACAAAAAATAATTGTTACACACTTAAATGACAATCCTATGTGTTAGAATGTACTATCCTTTGCGCTAACTGCAACAATAGCAAAATTTTTTGATTAGCTGAAAAACATACCCGAACTTGTGTATCCCATCGCTGTAACTGACGACAGATTAAGCGTAAATCTTCATTTGGAGCGTTATCACATGTTGATAAATCAACAGTGTAGTAAAAATTGATGTTACAGCTAACAGTAACTACAGTAACGGCAATAAAACTAAGCAGAAATTGTCGATGAGACATCATATAAAATCTAAAAAAAAAAGTAAAGAATTCAACGTTTAATTTTCTTTACTTTCTCTTGATGTGCTACCGCTGCTGACTGCCGATTGATACTGCAATACGCTTATTCTTTATTTTATTTTTATCGCAAAAACAAAACTTTTTATAAAAAGTAGCTTTTTCTTTTAAGTTTTATCAAGCGTAGTAATTTTCTTAACAGTACAACTTAGGTAAGAAGTTTGCAAAAAAAACTAATGGATTTAAGATATTAATCCATATAATATAGAGGCTCCGTATCAAACGGTTATTTGAATAATTCTTTTGCCAGTTTAAACTCTTCACACATTTGCAACAATTTTCACACTCACTGACACATTCTTCAGACTAAGCAAAACGTTAGGTCTTTTAGTAAGTTCAAATTAACTAAACAATAATCGGCAGCATTGAATAGACTTTACAGCTCTCATAACAAATGTACTTGAGTCTCATAATCAATACTAACCCAAATTAATAACGTTTTACCACTTTTTTTTCAGTTGACCAGTAATGTTGAAGTCATATAATAGTTAGAACATGAAATAATTTGATTTGTAAAGTTTTTAAAAAATGTTTCAAATATTATTATCTCTTTCAGACAGAGGAGGTGAACAGTAGGTTACAGTTACAGATTATCTCAAAATTCTGCCGAAGAAAATCAGTAAATAAACAGTTCACTACAAACAGTTTGGGCGCTGTACGACAGAAAAAATTGGAATGATTCCGCGATGAACTTAGCGAAAATCTGGTGATTGTTGAAAAAGAAAAGCAAAAGAAAAGAATAAAAAGCTAACAAATGAAAAATATTTGAAACAAAGCTGAAAACTGAGAGGGCTCTCAAGTGAAAAAACATGAACATTACAGCTACTCACTAATTTCCTCTGTTCTTTAGGTTTTTTAAAAAAAGTGATTTCAACACTCTCTCTTTCTTCTTCATCTTCATCCGTCTTAATCTTCTCAGTTACCTAAATTTATCCCGTGTATCGCAGTCAAGATAACTAAAGCTACAGCTGTCCATTTGACTAGTTCCGGAGTGGGCTATAACAGCACCAAGTTTGTTCAAATGACCAACTCGGACCCTTACACTGTTTTATCTCCGTCCAACAGTGTTACAACTAACAAACAACAGCTTCCTGGAGTTTACTTCTTATTTAAAAACAGCTCCAACTCCTCTTCATCTCAAACCAGTCCTTATAGTATTGCCTTACAAAATACACTGTTCAAATCAGTTTCTCATATCTTTTGGATCCATCGTTTCCATTTGGAAAGAGAGGTTTCATTACCATCTTACCATTATTGAATAGCCTCGGTTTTTTCCATCACCTCTGACAGTTCCTAACGCCTACTTCGTGAACTCACTGGACTAAATAAGCGTCTCTTACTTTATCCCCAATTAAATTGGATGA